AGAATAAATATTAACTGCTGATTGAACAGATTTTTAAATTTATTATATTATTGTACAGGTTTTTTCAATTTTTAAATTATTTTTAAAAATATATTAGAAATATTTAGCAACGGATTAGCCGTCGCTAAATATACTTTTAGCGACGGAAAATAGATACGGGAAAAAACATTACCGACGGATTTTCCGTCTCTAATGTTAATGGCGACGGAAAATTCGTCTTAATTATTTTTTATTTTTTAAAAAAAATAGTTATAGCGACGGATTTTCCGTCACTAAAACATATTAGCGACAGATATTCCGTCGCTAAAAGATGTTTTAGCAACGGATTTTCCATCGCTAATGTTTTTTTTTCTTTTTTTAAAAAAAATAGTGCGACGGATTATCCGTCGCTAATTTTCCGTCGCTGAAATTTAGCGACGGATATTCCGTCGCTAAAAATGATTTTAGCTACCCTCACTGTACTGACGGGTTTTTGGCGACGGAATTTTATTTTTTCCGTCGCTAAAACCTTTAGCGACGGATTTTTGACTTTTAGCGACGGATTTGTCCGTCGCTAAAAGTCCTGTTTTCTATAGTGTATATCCCCTCTCACGACTCCCTCTCCCGCTCGACCATTCACCCTCCTCCAGCGAGCCTCCCTCCGTTGCTCCTCGACCACCTGCTCCCCTCTGCCTCTCCCTCCACCGATCCACCTCCTCTTTCTCGCGCCTATTCCTCACGCCGCTAAGCACCCCTCCTCTTCACCCTCACCTCCGACCACCGCCCCTTAAAACAAACCCGAGCCCCACACCCCTCCAGCCACCGCCCAGCTCAGATCTTTGCACCGCCCAGAACCCAAGGACCTGAGCACCTTCTCAGCTAGTCCCCTCACAGCTCCGCCTCAAATCCCTCCCTAATCACGCCCTCTCCATTCACCCACGGCGTCAGCCTTCCCAACGCCTCAAACCCCGCACCAGCCACGACCCCACCTCGGACCCTCACCGCCTCCCATCCACCCCAACAATCGCTGCCAAACACCCTCTCTCGCTATTTTCTCCTCCGCCACCGTCCCACGACCTCCCTGCCCCTTTCCCATCTTCTATTTTGTTTCGTCGCACGCACCGTCCCTCCTTCACCCGAGCTCTGCCTCCTCTCCGCAGCTACCAATCTCCATCGTGACCACGGCTAACTCCACGCTTGCTGTTCAGCCAACCACCAATCGCCAGTCAAAGCCGACGCCTCCCGAAAGACTACCACCGCGAACGACCAGCAGCGATGTTGCCACCTTTCTAGCGCCCGACGCCCGAGCCCGAAGCCGAGCCTACCGAGACTCCTGTACGATCCCCGCTACCCCTCTACGACATCTTCAATATCCCCAAGGCAAGATCCCTCTTGCTCATTAACTTGTCATTTTAATATTCATATCAGTTATTATTGATTTAATAGATTAGTTTGTGATAATAATACTCTGCGTGGGATTGTTTGATGAAGAATATTAAATATATCATAGTAATATGATAAATAGCATTTTCAGAATAATTATAATGAACTAAAATAATTTAGTTCGGCAAAAGAATCATTTTTAGATAATTATAATAATTTAAAGGAATTTATTTTGGAAAATGAACTATTTTAAATTAATTGTTAAGAGAAATAATTTGCCTGAATTAATTTAGAAAAATATTATTTTCTGAATTATGTAGACGTTGTTTATGCTTTATAATTTTGATTATCTGATATGCCATGATATTATTGCACATGATTAGTTACATTGATTGCTCCTTGTTGTGATTGAGAATCGTTAGGAGTTATGACTATAGTGATCTGTGTGACATGAATAAGACCTAGAGGCTTGTGTGTTGTTGACTTAGAAATACAAGAGAATGTTGGGGTGAAGAAGTCTCTGTTCATGTAATCGGATAAGCCTGTTGATATACCTTCCAGGCTCGTACCAGTAGATCGGTATCACCACTGGGGTTGGTTTGTTAGGTCAAAGTGGATCGGTGTCTATACTTTGGTTCGTGAATTTGATATTCACCCGAGTCAGCTTGAGTTCGGACCAGGCCGGAGTCGGATTGCGTGTAGTCCTACTGGATTCACGTAGGGGATTTGTGAATAGTTAGTTATCCGATAATATGAACGTTTACTCTGTGTGAAATATGAACCAGTGACCTGTTATAGGATGGCTAGTTACATGACCTCGTTTCTGGACTAAGTATGAATTCTTGTGAGATGTAGGCTAGTTGTATTTCTTTTCATACATAGATCGGGATTAATATTTAATTATCTACAATTTAAGACATATGGTATAACATGAGAGTTTCCTTGTTTAGATTATTTCGCTCGACGTAGTACGTCTCTTGTTTAAGTATTAATTCCATCTAGTTGTATGACCTTGTTACTTGGATGATTATTCTGAACGCTAGCTGCATGATCGACTTGTTACTTGGTTGATTTTCTTGGATTCTTTTAATTATTATATTCTAGTGATAGATTGTATTTAAATTATTAGTATTCTAGTAGCATGCTTCTATTATTATTATTATTGTTGTTCTTGTTGTTGTTTTTGCATTGGTCGTTCGACCATTTCTATTTCTCTCTATGTGATCTTGTTTTATGCCATGCACGCTGACGTACACCTATTTTCTTTGGTGTACGTCAGATTTAGGAGACAGACAGCCTCAGTTCAAAATCATACAGGAGCCAGAGGATTCTCAGCAAGAGTGCCTTGTAGACGGAGCAGAAGAACAAGTTGAAGCTTAGCTATTTCCTTAGTTATTTGATGGTCCTTAGTTTATTTTTGTAGTACTTCCTTTCTATTCTTGTTGAACGATGTATTTTCATATTTCTTTAGTACTTATTTGGACTGTTTTGTAATAAGGACATGTTTGATCCAAACTCTGTGTCTCGGATGATATTCTATTTGTGATACGTCTATTTTCCATTCTGAGTTGTTCATTATATTCTTACTACGTGTGATCGGGGACCTGTGACTTTGTATTTTATATTGCTTAATGCTTAGCATATTAAATTGAGTAGAAATGGTCTAGTATCTATTTCTCACCAGTCTAATACGTCGCGTGCTTATTCACGTTCCGATTCCCCGGTATTTTGGGAAGCAGGGCGTGACAGTTTATTCCTAGTGGAGTACTACACAACTTATTTTTAGAAAAAGAAAATATCTAAACACTTAAGATAGCTAATAAAAAGATAATCAAATAGAAACCTAACAAAAAGTAAAATATGTAATCAAATAAAATCCTAACAAAACTTAAAAGAGATCTCAAAATAAGATTTTAAAAAAATTCTAACTAAAAAATAAAATTACATAGAATAAGATAAAATCCTACTAGAAAAGCTAAGATCCTATCAAATCCTGATCACATCAAATCGATGGTCCACTATCATCCTGCATCAAAATAGCAACCTTGTGGTTTGGAACTTTGAATATAAGATTATCTAAAGAGTTCAAATAAAAATATGCCACACCAAATATTCATAATAGATTATCGTCTTGTCAATTATACTGTTGATTGAGTCTACTAAAGACGAATATCAAATCTACATAAGAATAAAATGTTGTGGATGTTGCAATGTAGCTTAGATTTTGATATTTACATAAGAATAATTTTACGTTTTGTTTGTTTCGTAATTAGATTGTTTAAAGTTAGTCTGGTCTTTAGATCTAGGGTTATTCATGTGTAGATTTTGGACTATTTTAACTTAGGGGCTGTTTGGTTCGCTATTATAAGGGGTGGAAAACTCAGAAAACCCCTCCATGTTAGATTTTTAGCCCTCCACGTCAGTTTTTTTGTTTCCGTCCATTTCTTTGTGCCGCTTTTGTTCGCTCGGATGGAAGAGGGAAAACTCTTTTGAAATCGCCGCCAGCTCAGGTTTTTTCCCTCTCCGATTTCCTTCCCCAACCGAGTGAAATTGATGAACTCTACCATGTCAGATTTTTTCCTTCTCTGCTTTGTTTACAAAAGTTTTTCTTTTTTTTCTATGCGAACCAAACACAATTTACAAAAGTTTTTCTTTTTTTTCTATGCGAACCAAACACAAGAAAAATAAATACATTGGTTTCTCACCATTTTTTAACCAAACACAAGAAAAATAAATACATTGGTTTCTCACCATTTTTTATGTGTGAACCAAAGCAAAACAATCTATTTCTTGAAAAAGTTTGGAAAACTTAAAACTTATATTTCTTTACATGGAATTGCATTTCCCTATATCAAGGAAACGAACCAAATAGCCCCTTAGAGTTATTGTATTTGTTATTAGTTCGGCTTTATCCGTATAGTAGTGACTATAAGTCATCAAAACAGGTCTTGAAAAATTAATGTAAGAACAATGTAAAAATTTTATTTCAGTTAATTGATTTGAACTTGGACCCCCAAAATATAAGGATAACAAGGAAAGCATTAAAAAGAGTTAATTACAATGAACCTCCTAAACTTTGGGAGAGTTGCACTAAACCTCCTCAAATTTTTTATTCCATTAAACTCTCCGAACTTTAAGAGTTATTGCATATAACCTCATTGGTATTTTTTGTTCCTTTAAATTTTACCGGAAAATTTCTCATTTTATATACTCATATTAGCATCATTAACTCCAACGTGTCATTAGGTAAGCACATGCCAAAATAACAGGATGAAAATTCCTTCTTAGTCCCAAAATATACTTTTTTTAAAAAAAGGAAAAATAGGTAACTCTTTGGGACAAAGGGGTTGTTTTCATCTTTTTCTTGGCATATATTTGCCACAGAAGATGTTAGAATCGATGGTGCTAATTTGGAGATTAAATGAGAAATTTCATGTGAAATTTAGTGGGATGAAAGAATTTAGTGGGGTTATGTACAATGACTCTTAAAGCTCATGGGGGTTTAGTGGAATAAAAGAAGTTGAGGACGTTTTAGTGCAACACCCCAAAGTTCAGAAGGTTTTCTATAATTAACCCTTTGAAGAACCCAGAAATATTTTCTACGTAAAATGCAAGTTAAGAGAAGTAAGTTTGCCATGTACAAAGACAATTGCTAAAGCTTGTACATTACTTCCAATTAGAAAGATTCACCAAGGGTTGCGCTTTTCCGTACAATTCAATTCACTATGTGAAGCACTTCCCTAGTCCAATCCTTTCATGATCCCTGTATCAATGACGCCCTTTTGCATCAAGGTCAGTATCGGGTCACACAAAATAGGAAGAGGCTCAACTACGTGGCCTCTTCTTCTCTGTAGGAGCACCCTTATTACACACTGTATTCCTCATCTTCATTATCTTCTTCTTCGTTGAACTTCCCCTCTAACTTGATGCACTTGTACTGTCTAGCACAAACCAAGTACACCAGGAAGTTTACACTGGTTAGTGCTGCAAGCAAGAAGTAGAACCTGTCCATATGCCCCTTGTTGAGATTTCTCGGTATCCATCCAAGCTGGTGCCCCTTTGCCGTGATATCCATTACTATCGACACGATTAAACTGCTCACATAGTTCCCTAGAGAGATTGATGTCATGCAAAGAGCGCTCCCGAAGCTTTTCAGCCCATCTGGTGTCTGAGAATTGAAGAACTCTAGCTGACCTACATACATGAACACCTCAGAGGCCCCAATCAGTACATACTGAGGGATTTGCCAAAAGATGCTTAGACTGCTAGGAACATCGCGGTCACAACCTTTACACACAAGTTTTCTGCCACAGCAATTAGGAGCCCTATTCCCATTCTCTGGATTTCAGTGAGACCCTTGGAGTCCTTTCGTAGGCTGCAGACAAGCGGATGGAGGATGTTGCGATAGAAAAAGATGAAGGATGCAACACTAAGAATGTCAAAGGCTGACATGCTTGCTGCAGGGATTTGGAAACCTGCAACGGATGTGTTCATCACTGCGCCCTGCTCGACGAAAAGGGAGGCCATCTGGGTGAAGACCACGGAGTAGAGAATGGTGCAGAGCCAAATTGGGAGGAGCCGAAGCACACATTTGACTTCTTCAACCTGGGTTACTGTGCAGACCTGCCAGGGATTTTTCTGTTCATTTAGGTCAAAACCATCATCATTAGAGTCGATGAGTGCAGCTCGGTCCAGGAACCTTGCAAGTGATCGCAGGACATTGGTTAGCATAGTCACAGAGATTTAGGTCAGCTACACAGGGAACTAGACTATTTGTAACTTACTTGAATCCTTTAGTGTGAAGGAGCTTTCGACTTCCGTAGTCAAGTTCCCGTCCAACCACCTCATAAAATTGAGCATCGCCAGGAGGAATCTTTGCCTTCGATTTCCTAGAGGCCGCTACAACCACCTGGCACACCCGGGAAAGGGGGTTGCCAACCGGCTGAAAGTGTCTGTATCTGTTTGTACCAGCCAAGAACAAGAGAAGGGCAAGAAAGGCCGAGCCTGTGGAGGCGCAGAAGCCCAAGGCCCACATTCCCTCATTCTCAAAGTAGCCCAAGAAGGTATTGGAGAAAAGGGAGCCCAAGTTGAGGGCTAGATAGAAGTAACTGAAGAAGGAGATCTTGGAGGGAGCTTCCCTCGGGTCCTCCTCATCAAACTGGTCAGCACCAAATGTGGCTATGTTTGGCTGGTATCCTCCATTCCCCAAGGCGACAAGGTAGATTGAGAAGTAGAACAAACCAATCACAATTTTCGAATGGGGCCCGCATGCTGTGTGGGCATCACCACATCCAGAGGGTTTGAGCAAGAAGCGGTAAGATGACAAGGATAGCAATGATAGACCCTATTAGCAAAACAAAATTAATCTATGCTCAGTTCTAGGCATATGTGCCCTTACTAGCTAAAGAGAACATAGTTTATGAGTGTGCATGGCCATGACGGTGATCACTATTTCGGTTTACCTGAACTCTTTTCAAAAAAAAAAAAAAAAGATCCTCAGGTAAAAATGGAATGCAGCCACCATGGTTTGTAAATAGATTATGGTTCTCTTAAAATTTCAACTATAATTTCAAATTGCAATTTGCAAAAGATAATTGCAGTTGTTTATTTTGTAACTGGGCAGCATGTTGCAAAAGAGTTGCTTTTTGTAAAATGAGTTGCAATGAAACTAGATGCAAATCCTTTATGCAACCGCATCTATTAAAAAAATGGTTACAACTGCAACTGCAACTGGAAGTGCCCTTTACAAATTATAATTGTAACTAAAGTTGTAATTTTTTCCTTCTTCAACATGGATATCCATAGTGGTGAGGAAAAGACACATAGTATTCAAGTATATGGTGCTTTATGACTACTCACAAGTACGAAGATAGCTTGGAATATGGCACACGTCTTGTATCTCCCCCAGTAGGAATCACTGAGGAAGGCACCAATGAGGGAGCAGATGTAGACCGTGCCTGTCCATTTGCTAACGTCATTGGCTGCATCTGCATTGTTCTGCTCTAGCACCCTTGTTAGGAAAAGGACTAGGTTCACGCCGACTCCAAAAAACGCTAACGTTGCTAGGCCCTGATTTACTGTATTCATGTAAATACATACACGAGTATGTACATAACATTAGGTAGGGAACAAAACTCAAGAAGTTAGTATAAGCGCAAGTGCAGCAAGCTCCCAGTTGGGAGGCCTAGTCAGCAAGCTCTCAAGAGCTCTCAAGCATTTTAGAATAAAAAATTAACAAATTAAGCCTTGAGAGGCACTTCTTCTTTTATGTAGCTCCAACAAGCTCCTAGTTAGGAGCTCCAACAATATCAAAAACCCCTCTTCTATCAAAAAACCTATCAAAAAAACCCCTCTTCTATCAAAAAAACCCCTCTTCTATTGCAAAGGTACAAAAGCAAGGAGTTTTTTGTTAAATTTTTTTTTTTAATATCTTGGGAGCTCCTAAGCGCTCCACAAATTTGTGGAGCGCTTGGGAGCTCCGTGGCACAAAGTGTTGGATTTAATCTAATAAATCTATTTGTGGGCACATATGATTAATCAATGTGTATTGCTATCTTTCAGGATAACCCACTAAAGTGATCAATTAAGTTGGGTTAATTTGGTATTTAAATAAGTCATGGGGTTATATGTGCAGATACCAGGTTGTAATTGTGATTTATTGAGGGGCTAAATTACAAAAGTACAACATCTATAAATAAGGGGTTATGGTCCCTAACCTAGGGTTACATTCTCTAATTCTCTTCAACCCCATCTAAGAGAGAAATTCGGTTTTAGAGAAAACCCTAAGGTTAGAAGATCCAAAACCCAAAATCAAGATCAATCTATGGATTCAGGTATAAGCTTCCGCTCTTTTAAATTATTGTTAATCTCTTTGAATTAATCATGGCTATATGGTTTTAGATCTCAAGTTTTATGATGTAGATCTAACACAAAGCCCTAGGCTTTGTGCCACGGAAGCTCTCAGAGCTCCCTTAGGTGCTTGTTGGAGCAAGTCCAGCAAGCTCCCACCGCCACCTCAACCTTAGGAGGTGGGGTGGGAGCTTGCTGCACTTGCCCTAATATGTATGCCGGTATATAGGTAACTTTCTATTAATTGTACTATGTAGGAATTTGTATTATACTCAAGTGTATATGTATATATGGATGATTGTGTACGATACTTGCCTGCGAAGGAAGTATACTTATATGTACAAACAACCTTAATTGATTATATAACTATGTCTAGCATAGTATACGAATACATACCAGCGTTTCTTTACGAATGAAGAAGTGAATAACTCTGAGAGAAATAATTGCAAGCATAATTGAAACAATTCTTTGTTGAGTGGGCAATCATAGTCCCACATCGCCTAAAAAAGATGGGGATTTGGAGTTTATAATGAAAGGGCAAGTCTCTATTGGTATGAGGCTTTTTGGGTGAAACCCAAGAACAAAACCGTGAGGGCTTGGCCCGAAGCGGACAATATCATACCAAAATAGAGAGTAAATAGTGCTCAACATTCTTGACTCTTTAATCTGTTCTATTCCGGTCAAAGCTACTTAATTTGGGAAACTTCCTAAACATTTTTATCAAAATTCATTCTTTCTGGTTTACATGTGATATAGGTGTTTGATGGACTGCAGAAAGTTTAAGAATCACCATATTACTTTGCAGAATTTCGCCGAAGATTATTTGTGCCCTTGGTTAAAGTCAATCCTTTTACTTTTTGAGTCTATTTCTATTTCTTTATCATACGCCATACATCTGAATAGAATTTACATGAATCGAACTAACTTTAAGAGAACTTTTTTTTTCCTTCTCCTCCTTCATTTATATATCTATCTTTATTCATATGCTATATTTATGTAAGAAGACTGTTATTTTGTCTAGACCTTAGGATTCTCCACTGTTCCATCTCATCCTTTCTCATGAGTCGAGCCTCAGGAGCAGAATATGAACTTGCTAGGAAGAAAATATTGAGGAAGCAAAGGGGGAAGAAAAACTTTATGAAGGAAATTAAAAGAACATGATTAATTATTATCCACTCTGAATGAAAATTATATTTAAGAATAATTAATATGGTTAAACCATCTCCACAATCTACACGTACACGCGTACGCGCGTGTGCACACACATGACAAATTCTTAGTCTATGAATAACTTTTTAACCTTCTATTAGGTCCTCAAGTAAAAGTGAGGTCAAGAAGAGGCCCAGGATTTGTCTCAACCCAGTGTCACTTATTAGAGTTTTACAAGGCAGCCAAATCACTTGTCTCCATCCTGAAGGGGGAAGTGATACAGTGACCTCTCGACATGTTGCTTTCCCCGCTGCTTCTCTTCTGTCTCCCAATTAGGACAAAGAGGACGATAGGGACAATATTGGAAAGAATCAGTCATTAAAAGATAAAATTGTCACCAAATATTGCCAAAGAATTTCCTTAAAAAATTCAGAAGAAATTATGTTAGTAGGTTTATTATCTTTTACTTAAAAGGGTCATATAAAGATATAGATCTTAAACTTTCCACAATCCACGTTGACCTCAGTTACCATCTCAGAAAGATGTTAGGAACAGCCTTATTTGTGTTGATTGCAGAATATTGAGAAAATACAATGCCTTTGTAAATATATGAAACTGAAAGTTTTTGTATTTCTATCATTTAGAAATATGATAATTTCTGCACACTAATTGAAATCTTGATACAATTATAATCTCAAATGATTTAAATTTTTGAAGAAAACAATTTTTTATTTGAAACTTGTATTTATTTTGGTTCTTTCATTAATAAGTTGAAACTATCTATTTATAGAAAGAGTCAAATAGATATTTCTGCTCTATTGACATTAAATGACGGTGAGCATATCAGATTTTTTTTTTTTTTTGGTAATCTCATATCTTCTTCAGCGTATCATCATTCTAATCAAAGGATATTAAGCACTTAATATAAGTTTCCTGTCTATTTTAGTTTTTATATCAAATTAAGTAAAATAAATAGAGAAATTAATAAGACAATTTACCAAGCAACAAAAGCCCAGTTAGCCATCCACCAGTCCTCTTTTTGCTTGCAGGCCTCCCCCTGAAATCCACGGACCCATCCATAGTGCATTCGCAACATGAGTCTCTGTCTAGTTTCATGCTGCCCGCTCTTCTCAACTTCATCTCAATTGCTTCTGTTTCTCGCTGTTCTTCCTTTCCCTGCAACATCACCGCACTTTTGTGTTACCTACTGCAGTATATTTTTACTCAAAAACACTAATCCAATATTATTTTCTTTCAAAAAATGTTAGGGAAATACTTTTTCAGTAAAACTGGGGAAAATCTACCCCGTCTCATTAATAAGACTATAATGAGATGAGATATATCATACAACCATAATGAAGCCATTTGGGGGTGGGGCACGAAAAGAACAGAACAGAAGAGACACAAAAAATACATCCATAATGAAAAGAAAAGAACAGAAGAGACACAAAAAGCAGGTACTGGAAGAGACACAAGATAATATTACTGGTTAGGACAGCCTTAATACATGAGAAAGGAGTGTATATATGAGCAATAAAGAGCTGGAATAAAAGAGAGAGGAGTAAGTAGAGGAATGTAGGAGGGCTTCTTGGTTAGTGCCACAAGCTACTCACCATTTGGAATTTCTTAGTGCTAGCCACTGTGTGAGCTGCATATAAGAGCAATACCAAACAACAAGAAGATTAGAGGACGAGAGAGAGAAGGAAAATATGGAGAGATGGTAATGGAGGGGAGAAGGGTGTGAAGATTTATATAGAGCTGAGAAGGGGAGGGGCAGTGAGTTGAAAGAATGCTGTCTGTCACTTCTTCCACATGGTCCAGTGAAAGCCAAAAAGCCACGAGAAAAACATAGCAAACAAGTAGGATAGAGATGAGAGGGGACAAAAGGGGCGTTTAGTTGGATCCACGTATTAAAGGGGTTAATATCGGTCATGTGTTGTAAAACTAATGTATTTTAGTGTAGCAGTTTATATGGTAAATCATAAACTATAAAATAGAGTAGAGAAAGTAGACCAGAAGTACAGAGAATTTTTATTTCATCAATCTTTCTATTATAAAGTGAGGTAGGAATACCTCTATTTATAGACAAATTAAGATGATGATACATGAATCATATCAACTACTCATTAATGAACTTAGTCATTCTAGAACTTGTATTGTGTTGTTCTAGGAAGAAGGTTAATGTACTAGGGGAATATCAAGGGGTAATACATGTATCAATCTTCTCGGGAAACTAAATGGGCATCCACATTATTTAATTGTTTCATAACACTCCCACTTGGATGTCCAACATTACACAAAAAATATGTCTCGTTAAAACCTTACTAGGAAAAAACCCAGTGGGAAAAAATCTAGTGAAGGAAAAAGAGTACACTATTCTTGTGTATTAGTTTCTCCCCCTGATTCAAATATCGTTTGAGATCTTTCAACCGACGTATTCCAATATTTTTTATCAATTTCTCAAAAGTTGCAGTAGTCAATGCCTTGGTGAATAAATCTGCTAGATTATTACTCGATCGAATTTGTTGCACAACAATTTCACCATTATTTTGCAAATCATGTGTAAAGAAGAATTTTGGTGAAAAATGTGTTTCGTTCTATCTCCTTTAATATATCCTCCTTTTAATTGAGCTATACAAGCTGCATTGTCTATAAACAAAGTAGTCGGAGGATTTTCGTTTTCAAGAGACAATCAACTATTCTTCCGGATATAGTTCATCATTGATCTTAGCCAAATACATTCTTGACCGACTTCATGAATTGCTATTATTTCAGCATGATTCGAAGAAGTGGCAGTAATTGATTGTTAGGCTATGTGGAGCCTAATTATCAAACTCGGCCCTATTCACTGCATTGAAGAGAAAAACAAGCAAGAACAGGAAAAACAAAGCAGGAAACGTTTTGGTCCATTCAACCGAAAAACATGTACACTACAGGGTGTGTTTTCTACATTATGGCCGGTCGAGCGCGAGGCTAGGCCCGAACGACCGAGGATCCTGTAATTAGTTTCCTGAGATTTTGACGTTTTGGTCGGTCGACCGCGCCATTGTTAACGGTCGACCGCGACTCGGGTTTGGGCATGGACTCGTTTTCTGGTCTGTTTGAGATTCTTGTTTGTAAGAACCCTATACTATAAAAGGGGTGATTAGGGCAGCTTGTAAACTAACCGGAGAATAGTGAAACTTTTTCTTGCGGAGGCTGTGAACGTAACTTCTCTCATTGAGAAGTGAACCATGAAAAATTCTCTGTGTTCTCTGTGATTGTTCTTTTTCTCTTCATCATCATTATTCCCAAATCGCAATAAGGGTTAGAAAACCCAACAATTAGTATCAGAGCGACCAAGTTTGGCACATGCGATTTGAGGTTAGATATGAGATCCGAGAAGGAGACGTCCAAGATAGAGAAGTTTGATGGGACAAACTTTGGGTACTGGAAGATGCAGATGGAAGACTACCTCTATCAGAAGGATTTGTATTTGCCGTTGGGAGGAAAGCCAGTGGATATAAAGGATCCAGAATGGAAGTTGTTAGATCGGAAGGCCCTTGGCGAATTAGGTTGACCTTGTCCAGATCTGTAGCCTTTAATATTAAGAATCAAGACTCGACAGCGACTCTCATGGCTGCTTTATCCATTATGTATGAACAACCCTCTGTAGTGAATAAGGTACATCTCATAAAGAAGTTATTTAATTTGAGGATGTCTGAGAATCAAAAATTCAAGGATCACCTGAATGAATTTAATAAGATCACCGACCAGTTAAACTCTGTTAATATTAAATTCGATGATGAAATTCAAGCCCTTTTAATACTTGGTCAGTTGCCTGATAGTTGGAAGGGTACTGTTATTTTGAATAGCGGGTCATACAGAAAATCAAACTGAAGTTTGCAGAGGTTGTTGACATGGTTATGACTGAGGAGATTAGAAGGCAAGAGTAAGGAGTCTCTAGTTTAGGGTCGGCACTGAATGTTGAAAGTAGAGGTAGAAACAGAAACATGAATAGAGGAAATAGCCGTGGGAGACCTAATTCAAGGAACGACAGGTCAAAATCCAGAAATCATAAAAGCAAGAAAGAAATTGTTGCTGGAACCTATGAGAATCAGTGCAGGGAACCCAAGAAAGACAAGGAGAGCAAAACTAAAGCGAACATTACCTTAGGAGAATCAGATGATGCCCTCATTTGCTCGTTAGAGAGCAAAACAGAATCATGGGTGCTTGATTTGGGAGCATCGTTTCATGCTACCTCAAATAGAGATCTATTTGAGAACTATGTTCCAGGAAATCTAGAAAAAGTCTACCTTGATGATGACCAAGCGTGTGATATAGTTGGAAAAAGGAGTAGTGTTGATCAACCTCAATGGGTCTGTATGGAAGTTGAATGATATGAGACATGTTCCTATCTTGAGGAAGAATCTGATCTCCATAGGACAGTTGGTAAAAGAGGGATATATAACAACCTTCGCATGTAATACGTGGAAGGTTACCAAAGGGTCTATGATTGTTACCCGTGGCACGAAGAGTGGGACTCTCTATATGACGATAGATGCATGTGGATCCATTGTAGTGGTTGAGAGCAAAGAAGATCCAAATTTGTGGCACAAAAGGCTTGGTCACATGAGCAACAAAGGGCTAAAGGTTATGTAGACGAATGAAAAGCTACCAGGTTTGAGGTCGACTGATCTTGACTTATGTGAAAGCTGTATCTTTGGAAAATAGAAGAGAATAAGATTCAAAAGAGTTGGTAGAACTCCGAAGGAAGAGAAGCTTGAGCTAGTTTATACAGATGTATGGGGTCCAACATCAGTCCAGTCTACTGGTCGAAGGTTGTATTTTGTTACCTTCATAGATGATCACTCGAGGAAGACTTGGGTCTATTTATTGAAATACAAATCAGAAGTGTTCGAAGTGTTCAAAAGGTAGAAGGCTATGGTAGAAAATGAAACAGGTTTGAAGATCAAGAAGCGACGATCAGATAATGGCGGTGAGTATGAAGATTCTGAGTTCAAGAAGTTTTGCTAGGATAATGGCATCAGATTTGAGAGGACAGTGCCAGGTACACCACAGCAGAATGACATAGCAGAATGGATGAACAAGACATTGACTTAGAGAGCCAGAAGCATGCGTCTACAAGTAGGACTTCTAAAACAGTTCTTGGCAGAAGCAGTCAACACAGCTGCCCATTTGATCAACCGGGGACCATCAGTACCTTTGGAGTACAAAATACCTAAAGAAGTATGGAGCGGAAATGAGGTAAACCTTTCTCATCTAAGAGTCTTTGGTTGTATTTCATATGTTCATTTGAGTGATCATGCAAAAAACAAACTCAATTCTAAATCTTTGATATGTTATTTTATTGGCTATGATGGTGATGAGTTTGGCTACAAGTTCTGGAATGAGCAGAAAAAAAGTCATCAGAAGTATGGATGTTGTCTTAAATGAAGTAGTCCTTTACAAAGATCGTGATGTTGTTCAGACAACTAGTTCATTGCAGTCTAAGCTTGTATACTTCGAGCCGGATGATGTTCCAGATGGGAGAAACCTTGAGGCTAGTTTTTATGAGGCAGAAGAAGTAGCAGAAGAGGTGGAAGAAGAGATGATAGAGGAGATTACTTCAGAGATGACAGATGCAGATGCAGAGCCTGGTCTACCTGTCAGAGAGTTAGGGCGGATAGCTAGAGTACCCAAACCAAATCTGAAGTATCCATCATTACAGTCCAAATCTTATTTGGACTACTTATTATTGAGTGATGGTGGAAAGTCAGAAAGCTATGATGAGGCATGTCGAGTGGATGATGTGACCAAGTGGGAGCTTGCTATGAAAGATAAGATGAAGTCCTTAAACTCTAACAAGACTTGGGAGCTTGCGAAGTTGGTAGTGGGAAAGAAAGGCTTGAGTAACAAATGGGTGTACAGAATCAAGGAGGAGCATGAGGGCTCCAAGATATACAAGGCTAGATTGGTGGTCAAAGGGTTTCAGCAGAAAGAAGGAGTTGATTATACAGAAATCTTATCTCCTGTAGTCAAATTGACTACTATCAGATCGGTTTTGAGCATTGTTGTAGCTAAGGATTTACATTTCGAGCAATTAGATGTGAAGACAGCCTTCCTCCATGGTGACTTAGAGGAAGAGATATATATGCAGCAGCCAGAGGGGTTTACTCAGAAAGGCAAAGAGAAGATGGTGTGCAGATTGAAAAAGAGCTTGTATGGTCTGAAATAAGATCTAAGGCAATGGTACAAAAAGTTTGATGGGTTCATGCAGAGGAATGGATACTCCAGGTACAATGCTGATTATTGTTATTTCTTCAAGAGGCTTGACACAACTACATTATATTGCTGCTATACGTTGACGACATGCTAGTAGCCGGTTCATATATGGGTGAGATCAAGAAGTTGAAGAAGCAGCTGTCAAGTGAGTTTGGCATGAAGGACTTAGGTGCAGCGAAGCAGATTTTGGGGATGAAGATTAGCAGAGACAGACTTTTGGGCACACTGCGGCTATCTCAGGCTGAGTACATTAGACTGGTGCTTGAGAGGTTTGGGATGAGTGATGCTAAGGCTGTTAGCACATCTTTAGCTAGTCATTTTAGGTTGACTAGGGAGCAGTGTTCAGTGACTGATGAGGAACAAGACTGCATGGTGAAGATTCCATATGCTTCGGCCATTGGAAGTCTTATGTACGCTATGGTGTGTACGAGGCCTAACATTGCCCATGCAGTGGAAGCTGTGATTAGATTCATGTTAGATCTAGGAGAATAGTACTGGGAAGCA